CGGAGTTACCCCCTTTTTCCCGTTGCCTGGGTTACTGGTTTGCCCGCGGTACTCCCCTCGCCCAAATGGCAGATTCAGCCATGTTTCTTTGTCTCCCTGATTGCTGTCCTTTGTTTGTGGGGTTGTTGAGTTCATTGGGCTTTTCTTCAGGCTAAGCCGGGGATCCTTAATTGCTCGCCGATTGCTGCGCTTCTGAGCCGCTGCGGTTTGCGTTGCCTGGGGTGCTCGAGGGAAGCAGGCTTTGTTACAAAATATCCGCTCCTGCCCTGAGTCAATTGCCGCTGCCTACAGGCAATTGACTTGCGGGTTGCCTACTTCCTCTTTTCTGCTGCCTGTGGTGAAATTGACTAGGGGGCAGTGAAACTGAACAGCGGTATTGGCCGTGCAGTGCTGGCTGAATCTGACAGCGATCACATGATTTCCCACTTAATGACCGCTTTGCTTAATGATAGAGCTGCTGGTCCCAATTGTGGCTGCTAAGTGAGGACTACTTGTATATATATTTGTGCTTCAAGTCACTGTTGACTCCTGGTGACTGCCTTGACAAGTCCTTGCAGTTTCCTTGGCAAGGTTTCAGAAGTGGTTTGCCACTGCCTTCTTAATAGGGCTAAGAGACTGGCCCAAGATCAACCAGCTGGCTTTGTTCCTAAGGCAGCACTAGAACTCTTAGTTTCCTAATTCTAGCCTGATGCCCTAACCACTTCACTAAACTGGCTCTGTTACAAACCCATAAAATCACAATTAAATTAAAAGGTTTAAGAGAATAAAAAAGGCTTTTGCCTGGTATGAAAAAAAAATAGACTTCTACCAGACCTCTCACATTAACAAGTGTTCCTCAGTCATTTAACATGCTGGTGTGGGGTTACAGGACCTAACATCTGCTGGATATGAAGACGAGAAAGTTAACTTGAACTTTTTTCTATTTTCTACCAGCCTCTTCCAAGAAGATTACATTTGTTTAAACTGAGAGTGTAAATGGCCCCAAATCATGTTTTGTTTTGTTGCATTCCATTAATACTACCATGCTAATACTTTGTTTAGATAATTGTCTGAAGTTTCGTGGTTAACATTTTCATCACATATTCATCCTGTTAGGCCAGGAGCTAGTGCCCACAGATTGCATATAGCCCAATAATGCTTTAGTTAACAGTTTAGACAGCAAAGATGCCCATCAGTTGGCATAGCATTTGTGCACCTCTGCAGATACCATATCTTCACCTGGGACTTAACCAGATAATGCTTTAGTGTGTGCCTCGGATTTCTTCTGAAATTTAGTGGTGGTTTGTTACCAAAACTTGGGAACAGAGCAACTGATTGGCAACTTTCATGCCAGACACATCTCTTTGTTCCCTGTTTCACCCTACATAATTGTTACTTAACTTTTCTTTTAATTCTGGTTCCTTTCTTTCTGCATGCTGACATTTGGAAACCATGATTGCCAGTAGCATATACTCTGATTTTTAGAGGCAAAGTGCTTTTCTCTTTGTTCTTAAAGATAGTAGCTCTCTTAGGGGAAACCAGAAGCCCATCAAAGTCAATTAGGCATTCTTAAGAATCTTAGTCACCCTACATAATTGTTACTTAACTTTTCTTTTAATTCTGGTTCCTTTCTTTCTGCATGCTGACATTTGGAAACCATGATTGCCAGTAGCATATACTCTGATTTTTAGAGGCAAAGTGCTTTTCTCTTTGTTCTTAAAGATAGTAGCTCTCTTAGGGGAAACCAGAAGCCCATCAAAGTCAATTAGGCATTCTTAAGAATCTTAGAATTAGTACTGTTAATATTTCTAAGTAATTTATAAGTGCAATAAATAGCATGAATTGATTAAAAATTGATCAAAACTGAATAGGAAATTAAAATTTGAAGTATTTTATTTTTAAATATGTATTTTGTTTCTGAAATTAATGGGAGTAATGTGCTAAGGAAATCAAGTGTCAAATAAATGTATCCTGTATTTTTCAGAGGGATTAATATATAAGTAATTAACTATTTTGCAAATTAATAAATGAGGACTGATAAGAATGTTGAAGAAAAGCTGGACATGGATATATGGCCCTACCCATTTTTTGAGTTTGGCCATCAAGATACTACACAGAATTTTGGATCAGAATTTAGATCAATTTATGACTGATTTATGAAGATTTTGGCTTTTTCAAAAGAATTATGATAATCAGAATAGGAAGATAACTCAGGATATTACTGTTTTGTTACCTAATATTAAACGAGCATTTTCTGATTTGAATATACAGTGGAATCTTGCTCTATGCAGTCTGGTTCTTTACACCAAAGCTAACATGATGGGGGACAGCAAAGGACAACTGAACATTTCCAGCATTTACCACAGCATCTTAAACTATATTTTTAAAGCTTTGTTTGAACATGGCCAGTTCATCCTGTATTATTGCAATCATTTAGCTGTGCTTGCTTCAATCTGTTCTTTTGTTTCTGATTAGTCAACAGTCTTTTGTGTCTAGTTATATTTCTAAGATTTGAATTTTATGTTATTTTTTCCTCTTATTTTGACAGGTTATTCTTCTACCAGAATAGATCCTAGTACATTGAAAGTTGTAGGATCAACAAATTTACCAGGTACATAGTAAATGCTATACATTCTTCAAACTAACCTGAAATTTTGGGAAGGTTTTCAACATTGGGTACATTCAGATGATCATATTTTGTCTTAAACTGAAATGCACAGTTCATGCCTCATGAATGTTAATGCCACTCTCTTTTACTACTTCCTGTGAGAAGTGAAAAAAAACCCAGAAACCACAATTCCTATTAAACTTGAATCAACAAACTGTGGTTAATGATTA